TTCTTTCGAATTTTTTTAAATTTTTAACTATCTCAATAACTTGTGTCTTTCATCAAACCGCACAGAATGACATTGCTTGAAAATCTTCCCAGTTGTCATCTGATTTTTTGATGGTGGTGATGTTTTTTTCATTCAATTTTTCTCCTTAATTTTTCGTTGCCTTGTGTGTAGTTGTGTTTGTAGGTGTATGTATTTGCGAAAGTGTTTCTATATATGTATATATTATGAAGAGTAGAAGCAATTGAAAACAGTCATCCGAATCTGTCAAATTTCTAGAGAGAATTCGTTTAAACCCCGTGACATTATACATACATTTTTTACCTTCAAATTTTACAAGCTGTTACTAGGCTAATTAAATAAGTCAGTTGCTGTGCCATATCATCGTCATTTTAATCATTATCATCATCATAGGTTTCAATATCAGGATAATTTAAAAATAGATTTATGTTTTGATGCTCACATGCCAAATGACCAATTCATCATTCATTACTTTGTAGACATGTCATTCTATCCATTTATAAGTTGTTTTATGCGTACAGTTATGCATGTGTTTGTCTATATATAGATAGAAACACACAAGTGGATAAACACGGAAGATACATTATACTTTTTATTTCCTCTTATTTTTCTACAAAGGTTTTAGCTGTTCTTCAATTTATTTGGTTATTCCCTCTCCCCACTACTACTACTACTACTACTATTACTACCACATCACAAGAACTATTGACTAAATCACTAAAAGAGCAATTCATGCTTGATTTTAGATTCTTAAACACATAGTAATATGATATATCACAATGACTAGTTGATTGGTTTTCTTTTCAAATTGACTGAGAATAATTGACTTGAAAGCTGAGAAAAATAAATCAGAGCCAACTAATTAACAAAGTAACGAGTGGTATTGATTAGCAGATTTAATTTTATGAAGTCTAAAACATGACTTTTTCTACATATATTTTGAAATTTTTCGCATAGTACCAAGAATAGATTACGTACTTAGACTATTTCAATATATATTAATTAAAAAGTATCTAGTAGCAACTAGTGTGGAATCTTCAATGAGAGTTAACCAGCTGATTTCCACCGAGATACAAAGACTATGGTCAGCACCCCAATGGCGAAGTTGAATTATAAGATTATATCTGTAATCAGCTTATTCGCTAATCTATCTTGAGAGTATGAGAAATTCGCATGTGCATATTCCTTAATAGTGGCTCAAACAGACTTTTCATCACTAAGATACTATGAATATAAGAAATTATTGATCGATTAGGAATCAAAATTTCTGAAATAACCTCGGACTGACAAATACGACATTTAGGATTTAGAAATTAAGTATTATCGGCGCACATTACTTACATTTAATGTAAAGTCACTTCGTCAGTTACTAAATAAAGCCTGTCTGAATATAATTCAGCCTCATCATTTATGTCACTGATATGCCATATACCGTCTGAGATGTAATCATATACCTAACTGTCTCTTGTATTATAGGGATGATTACCAATGTATCCGTTCAATTTAATTCATTTAGCTACTTCCATACATCATGGTTCTCGTTACTTATTGTCGATTAACTAATCAACAGATAATCACATAATATATTTTATATAATGAACCGATATCAGTTAGATAACTGTTGAAAACGAGGACGCATCATATGGTCACTTCTTCCTAGTATTGCATCCTTCAGTGATACGCGTCAGAAACCCGTCTCGAAATCGAACCCAGGACCTTCAAGTCTGGTGACGAGAACCTAGACTTCAACGCTCAAGCGATATCCAATGGTCTGTGCACCTGCCTTTAATTAATTTGCCATATCGCACAACTAATACCACTGTTCACCGGCTGCCTCACAATCAACATGGTTGAAATCTATTGGTCACAAAAACTCCGGAAATCGCCTATTGAAATTATTTACACTCCAATGCATATTAGTAATCCAAGTAGAAGGAAGACGTTTCATCAAAGAAAATATTCTTTTAGACTATGTCATTTTCTTGAGCTGTACAATCGTATTAAAATCTTATAAGTGTTAGTCCAAAAGAAAATAGTCTATAAATAGAATTTTATGACCCAAGAAAATGATAGTATCCAAAAGAAAATTTTCTTCTCTGAAATTTCCTGAATTTTTTTAATAACTTGATAATCTAAATATTTGAGAAAAAGATTTTTGATGAATAGACCAGTATAAAAGTGGAACACGACGCAAGAGCATAAAGAAGAAGAAAAGAGATACCGAACCTATAACAAAGATTTAATTGTGCTTTAATTTTAAAATTCTATGTCGTGTCTAATTTTAAATTTTAATCATACAAATAATCGGCAAACTAAAGATAAGAGGATTATCATTACGATCAATTTTGATACATCAAATCAATAATAGATTATTTAATTAAGCAACTCCAAAGTGGCTTTATTTAGAAGTTGATTATACAATAACAATTATTTATTACACTTCGAGAATCAGAAAATCAGTAGGTTTATAAATTTAAACGAACTAATCTGATTGTAAAATATTAGATGTAAAATGAATAAGTGAAAAAATTAAAAACACTCATTAAGTTGTTACGTAGTTTATTATTATATGCCACAAGTATTAGGAGTACTTACGAATTTCATCATGTCATAAGATTAATGGAATGAACATAACAAGAACGATGTATCGCTGGAGAAATCGTAGAATAACAACGATAAAAACTTATTCATTGTATTTTAAATTTTTTGACGACTATCTAAATGACACTGAGGCCGTGACAAAAGCTGTTTGAGGTGCACAGGACAAGCTGTGAACCACATGTAGAGAAATTCAAACACTTCGCTTCTACCCGAAGTTTATGCTGATGATGTCGTTCAAAAAGACGATGGAAGCTCCACAACCAAACCATCCAGCTCAGAGTAAAAAAAACTCCATCAAAATCTGTTCTTTTATTTAATATATAAACTATTTAATTACATCCCTAACTCCATGCATTTCTAACCGATCAAATTCAGTTTATGTACGGTCCATACATATAATATTTTATAGCTAGTGACAAAGTAACATTTGATTAGATTATTACCCTCTTTTATTAAATAAATAAACAAAGTATAGATTTATATGAACAGTGTGTTGACACAATATTTATATTTAACTTATTCTAAAATTTCGATTCTTTTATTTTTGTTTATTTACATTGAAATAACTTTGTTGGAAGTCGATCATTGATCATTGGTCATATCTGTCAAATGTCATATCACATTCACATAAATGTACAATAGTAATATCTATGCATGCACACATGCGTACATGTACCTAAATTTGCATACACGCAATTGTCACTTGAACTGTTATTGTTTACATATATATATATAGTATCTTCTTATATATATTCCTGTCATTTCTAGAAGAATTTGGGAAATTATTAATTAAACTTTCATTCCTTATAAACTATTCATGATATTTAGTTGATTTGAATATTATTGATATATATATACCTTTACCCTAGATAAGAATTACTCTTGTCATAGACACTATAAATAAACAAGAAATGTTTATATATTCATTCTATTTTCATACTTTATATGTTTTATTATAAATCATAAATAAAAAGAAATCATTAAAAATTAAAAATGAACGGTCAGTAATGAATGAATAATATAATATATAAGAGACTGACCAGTTACAGTCCAAAAACATCAATTGGAAAATTCAAACAAACAATACTAAGTGAATTTAAACTTCACCCCATTGCACAAGTAAGTGGCTATCAGAACTCAGTAGTTGAGTGGATAACGTGGTGGCGTTTGAAGCGAATGGTACTGAGTTCGAGTCACAGAGTGAACATCAACTCTGAGATGCAGGTACATCTAGCTGACGAGTCACAAATAGGACGAAACGCGTGTCAAACTGGATTCCACTGCTAGCCACTATCCATATTTGCTTATAAAGCTTATTTATTATCATAAATTAATCAGGTTTTTCTTTCTTTTTTTTCTTCTAATCAAAGTCACCAAATTGTAGCTTCACTTGTCACTATTTATTTATAAGAATTAATGATAATGGTAACTAGGTAATGTAATATTGTAAAGATGTAATTTTTTTTTAAAATCTCCTTTCTGTAAAGTAAACTATGATTACTACTACTGTCAACAATATAAAAAATATTTTACCCTTTTAAGAGGCTTGTTTCTAGTTTTTATTTTATTTAACAAATCAATAACTCCTAATATTGTTTTAAATTTTTTACATAACAAGTTGTGACAAATTAAGTTCATAAATGTATTGTTACCTATTTAACTTGTGTCATCAACGATAAACTGAATAATATTAGATTAATATTTTGAGAAACACTGGATAGTGAATTCTGATTTAAAGCTTGGTGGACTATAATATTTTTTTACTAAATACGTCAAGTGTTCTAAATCCAATTTTACAGAAGATTTTAGGCTTCCGTTTAATGATTGTTAGTAAAGTCAAAACGATAGGATTGTCTAATGTTTAGTGATTTCAGTAGTTGAATTCATGAGTCGATCTAAACTAGACCACCATTGAAAACCTGAGCGCACTGGATGGCCGTTTCATACTAGTACGGGACTCCTCAACAGTGAGCATTTACTATTGCACATGCGGGACTCGAACCCAGGACCTTCGGTTTCACGCGCGAACCCTTAACTTTTAGACTACTGATCCAGCATCCAACGGTGTTAATGTCTAACTTGAATCAATCTATGATCTTCAGCAACCACTTATCCATTGTCTAGGGTAGATACCTGTCTCTATCCGACACAGATTGGAACCTACTGGTCACAGCTTCTCACTAGAACTCCAGGAAATCCATCTTAAAATCAGTCACTAGTGAGCACATGATGATTATTATAAGAACAAAGGTTTTTGTAGGTTACTATAATCCCCACAAGCCTTCATTCTAATAATGATTGGTGATCTTTAAATGAATCCAGTTTGTGAATAAATTTATATCAATTCTATGAATCAGTAAATTTCTTCACGAAAAACTTACCACTTGTGCATTAGGTGAAGTTGAACCCATTGATGATGTAGATGATGATGACATGGATCCATTTAAACCAAAGTTTAATTTTGACGAATCTGCATTGATACTAATATTTTTAGAATTAATAATTTGATTGTGCTCAAATTCATTTGAGAGAATAGTTTTAAAATTTTCGACAGTTGATACACTATTATTATTGTTATTAGTACGATTATATGATTGCATAATATTTGATGAATCAGAATTAAATAAACAAGAATCTTGTAGATAAGGAATTGAATTTAGCGTAAGCGACGCAGATGATGATGACTGAAGAGGATGATTTGAAGGTAATAATGATCCATTTTGTATAGAGCCATTATTATTATTATTATTATTATTATTATTATTATTAAACAAAGTAGAATTGTTCTGTTGACTATTTATTAATGATTCATTTTGGTCAGTAAATAAATTTGGTGTAGATGAACGATTTAAAAATGGACTTGTTGCTGAACCTGTAGAATCAGCAGCAGATTCTCTATCTTCACAGACTAAATCCAATGGCATTTTACCTTTTAAACATGTAATGTAACGTGAACAAAAACTATCGCATAATTCATGAACCTAGTTTTAAAAAATAATGAAAAAATGAGAGGAATTATTGAAAAACAATTGTATTCAGTAATAAAACTACGAATCCATCCAGTTTTATCATTATTTATTACCAGATAGGTCAATAGTTTTGATTGTCAGTCGAATTTTGTGTACAAATCATGTGGGAAGTTGGATTTCCTTAACTAATAGCTATTTTAGACATTATAGACTGTGATCAATCTACTGTCCATTTGTCTTATGCTTCTTCACTTGTACTCAGATAAAAACTATGTGCCTGAATAATAAGTGTTTTGAATTGTAAACAATTATTTTTTCCCTTACTTCACATGACTTTTGGAACTAAGAAATGATGAATAAAATAACCTTAAAAGTTGTCTAGTGGTTGAGTTCCCTAATTTGGTTGATCAGCAAAGTGTAAATAAGTGCATTTAACCATTCTCGTATTATCTTCTACGAATCGTTCCTGTCATAATCCGTGTCTGGTTTCTTATTGATATATTACATATAATATAAGTACTTTTCATTTGTTTTGTCTGGGTATTACAATTCATTTATTTCTACAATCAATGATCTTTGTGATCAAATAACCTTTGTAATAAGACAATCATTATCCTATATAAAGTATTTGGGCTTGTAAATGTGTAAATTAAAGAAATCGATAGAGTGACACGGTTTACATTATTGTGTTTTATGTTGAAGTATGAATGCTAGTTTATTGACTTCAATTGCCTTGTATGACTAATACATTCTAATGTTTATTGATTTGTTTTACTTATGGGTTGTATGGTTAGGTATAAGTATTTTATAGCGAATAAATGCTCCAATGTTACACAACTCGTACACCGACATTATATATTTCGGTATCTGTTCCCTATTAGAGTTTCATTCGATATTTTTACCTATCCCCTTATTTCATTATTTATACAAATATTCAAGACACAATTAAAAAACGCCAATTATTTGTGTAAGACTCGACAAAATAAAATAAACTTCATTTAGATAAGACATTTGATCATTTTGTCTTTCCTTCATATAATAAACATACCCAATAGAAAACAGCCGCTTAGCCTTCTTACCTTCTCATGATAAGCTTATCTGGAAGTGCATCGTATTTTGTTATTAAACAGACAAGTTATATAAGTATGTTTACTCTAAGATGTCGTTTACCTGTAAAGAAGAATCTTCATGAATAGGCATTTAGCTGAATTCTTGATACATCACATAAAATAGTCATCTAACAGTGGATCGAAACGATGACACAATATTCGCATCGACTTATTAAAAAAGATTGCTTTTTAATGCAAATTAATCTGTACAATAGCATCAATGACGACAAACATTTGGGGAGCAAATATTAAGAAAACTATTTTTATTCAGCTTCAATGGTGTTCCAGTATAGTTTTAAATGTTTGATTAGATAAGATTTGTTGTACGGTCAATGAACACCGATGTAGTTAAAAAGAATGATACAACGATCCATTTGTAAATTCATCGATGTTAAATTACAAAAAAGAAAACATAATTTAAAAGTTATTATGTATATTACCTACTTAACTGGTAATTGTAAACAATACGAACTGAGAATGGTGCTTTATGGTCTGTATAAACAGGTTAATTAGATGAATTCAATTAACAGTCTTAGTAATGTAATCCCTGACATAACTACATCATCACGTGGAGGAAGTTGAGTTTCGTTGCCTCTGTAGACAAATATGAGTCTCTTCAATTTTTGATATCATTTAAACAGACTAAATATACGAATAAAAGATCTCTCGTTCAGAAAAACTTATCCTGGAAATGTTTAATTTTATTTCTGACGAAGTTTCACCAAAAAGTGATAAGTATTTATGATAAGAATAAGCCATTTATTAAAGTACCTCATCTTGTAGAGCATATGAGTTAGAAAGTCTGTAAAAGTGTTACTAAACTTTTAAATAATATGTTCTGATCAGTACAGTTCTATTATTAAAATGGTGGTAAGTCAACAAATCATTTTTCAATTTGTCAAGTAAAAAGTATATTTATATGTTCTGGGTTCGAATCCCGCGCGCGGAACTGTGGATGCGTACTACTGAGGAGACTTATACTAGGATGAAACGACCATTTAGTGCTCCCAGGGTTTTAATGGTGGTCCAACACTAAAAGGGACTGATCAATTTCAAACCTAAACAATAATGGGAAAACTCAAACAATCGAAACAAATCAATAAAATAACTACTGAAAATTTGAAAATTCAGATCGCTTTATTTCGACAACCTCAAACTGGTCTACATAATATGAACGTATTCAGAATCAACATATATATATATATATATATATATATATATATCGTGGTTTATCATGAGTACAACCAAAAACACTAATTAACCTTAGTAGTACTGCAACTTCTGATTCTGTTAAAATTATATGTAGACTAATTTATCTTTTGTCAATTCATTTCTTACTACTAATTTCCATTCCTTTTTCTCCCTCTCTTTGTTTCACGTGTGATTTCATTTTGTTGATTTCTCTTGTCAGATAGTTAATTACTATACATATCATATACACGTGTATTGTCATGCTGTGCTTTTATTTTATCATCTTTAGTTCTACACAAAAAGTTGAGGAAAAACAACATCCATATTTCTCTTTTTTTTAAATTAACATTTATCATCATTTATCCCCTCACTAATTCATTCAGTTGTCTATCTCTCTTACACACTCACTATTTACCTATCTATCCATCTAATATTACACAAAATGTTGTGGATCATAATGTTAATTTCTTTTTCAAAATGTTTTTTTCCTATTTCTGGTTCTTTTTTTTTATTTTTACTTTGATATTGTTTTATTTGTTAAATTTCAGTAAAAGAACATGGTTACTATCTCATCTATGTGTTGATTGTTATTATGCCATTTCATCATTTATTCGAGTAGTGTAACTTATATGAATATCACTATACTGCATGTATATATGTACATATATGTGTGCGTCATACATAGTTAGCAAAAAAATAAGAGACTTTTTTATGTTTACAACATAGAAAATGTTGAAAAAAAAGAGGTAAGTTTGACAGCTTCTCATTTTACCTGAGATGAACCAAACCTAACCAAAAATTCTTTAGCTCTATCACACACACCCCTCTTTACTTTTGAAAAAATTACTTGTAAATATGTAAAGTATTCCAAAGGTTAACCAAATAACACACTAGTGAAAATGTTGTATGGAAATGTTTTAGATATCTTTTATTTTGTTTAGATAAATACGATATGTATATCATTTTGCTGATTACTAACAGGATATTGTAATGATTATTCTGGTTACTATTAGTAGTATTTATGGCTGTTGTAGTACTAGTAGTGGTACTAATGATAAAACTATGTAGTCATAATATCGATAGTATCAATGGTCTATTTACAGATTTTGTTTTTCTCTCCTTCTTTCAACTAGTAACAGAATGAAAAGATACAGTAATCCTCTGCGTTCTTTTTTGTTATTATTAAAAATGCCAGGCCTTGTGGACATTTTGTTAGTTAGTTGGTTAGATGGTGGTAGATTTCTTTTAGTCCACTAATATCATATCATCACACAACCATCACCATTCCCCTGAAACATTTAAAATAACCAATATCAGCTTTTATTTTTTTCTTTTATTCATATTTGTTGTTCTCTTTTTTTATGAAAAGCTGTCAACCTGTCATATTGTGTATATTTTATGCGAATTGAAACAAGCAAAGTCGTTTAGAAATAAACACACAACGGGGTGCTATGTCTCTGTGTATCTCTGGCGTGTTAAAATGTATATTAGGAAAGTTATATATACACATATTAATACATACTGGTATTAGAGTTCAGTGACACTATACAAAGAATGAAAACAGCTGTTATAGAAGAGGAAGAAAAAGTTAAACCCACAGACAAATATATGTAGAAACGATAGATTCCATCATCTAACTAAATACCACCAAATATGATAGATAAATATTCACAATCTACCTGGTTTACGACATAACGTATAGACACGAGTGAAATAACTAAAATCAAATCTTTATGCGTGATGTGATACACAAACATCAAAGATTAGAGAGAGAATACCAAAGTTTTGTGAAATCATGGTAAATATTCACATAACTGAGACGGACCTAACAGGATAATTCCAATATATATTAGTCCTTATGCGAAATTGTTAAAAACGCACTATGAAACTATCATTTAAAACTTAAATGATAAAGGATTTAATATTCTGGGATGATTATACGATGCTTTCATTTTGTTTTGTCAGTCGATTCAGAGACTAGTGAGTGACTATTCTATTTGTTATATCCCCTGGTGAATTATGAATCGTAAATCTGAGGTATATTATCGACCAATGTATTATGCCTATTTCTTATTGTACAGTTGTTACGTAACTAAACTATTCATATTCGTGTTTCCTCTTATCATTAGCTTTATTTTGATCTTTGATTTATGATCATACGATTCTTGAGTTATAATCAGTTTATTGATTAGTTTGGTTTGTATAAAAACCCAGTGTGTTTGTAAATAATGATTCATATTTCCGAGGCTGTTATTTGTGTTCTGGACTCAACTGGCTGGGCTAGGCAGTTAGGAAGGACCGAATAGCAATCAAGACTGCTCGTACGTATTTTCTGTATCATTGCACGTTTCATATACAATAACGATTGTTATACGAGTCATAACAGTGGCGACGGGGATTCTGGAAAAAAAATACAGCAACCCAATACTGCTCGTACGTATTTCAAGTATCATTTGCATCCGATCAGTAAAATCCACTCCTCTCTAATTGCACGTTCATATATATTACGAGTCCATACGATATAACAACTGACGACGAGGTAAAAAAAAAATGGCTTTAACTTCCGATCAATTTCAGTTGCTAATTCAGAGACAAGAGCAGCGTTTTAAAAAGAGTCAATTGGATTTCATTGATAAGTTACACGCGACGCTGCTGAATCACCCATGCTTTGGGGGTGCAACGGAAGTTGACGCATTGATTTCTAAATTGCGT